AAGAGACGAGTCCCAGGTACTCTGCCACAAGCGTAATTCGAGATTCAGAAAGCGCTCATGACTGCAGACGCATTTCGAAACCAAAATATGCTCTCCCTCCAACCACCACGTTTAAAGGAGGCGTAATACCGCCCTCCGAAAATGAATGTGATAAAAGAGCCGCTGGTGGACTGAAATGACGGCAGCATAGAAATGCAGCCGAAAAGCACACACCACCTGCATATTAGTGTGTTTCAGAGAGTTTTTAACACGACGGTTAGAACAAGGCTCAATAAAAAATAATACACTACGGTGCATGGACTTACATTGAACTGTGTTCGCACCAATCAGTTTTACAGCCTGATTGAGTAGTAAATTTTAATATTTCAGCATCTACTGCCTTCTGTCGGGATGGGTAGGAGTGGTCTACGTAGATATGAGAGAGTGAGAAGGGAGGGGGGAAGGTCCGGAGGGGGAAGGAGAGAAGGAGGGCCAGATGGATAGAGGGTGAGGGGAGGAGAGAGACAAAAATTCATCCAATGAGAGTCATCCTAACTCACTTCGAAACATTCGTTCCAGTTGGGATTGATGGTCGACTTTTTGACGGCGGTGACAAACTTCTGAGCACCAACTGGGAAGAGCGAGAAAAGAAAGAACTCATTAGTCAGGGAGATCAGAAGACGGCGTGGTGACAAAAGGCTTTTAAAAAAGTCGGGATTCAGGTTAAATTTGTTTGCAAGCTAGACCAACCAGACGGATAAATTCGACAAGGAGTGTAAACACCGTTAAGAAATAGGGGCATTGCGGGAAATTAATTGGTGATTCCAACGGCTCCGGTGGGCATCGCGGAGCGCGTCGAAACTTATGCACAAAAAGTTCAAAAGTAAACTTTAAAGCAAAAAGTCCAATTTGGAGGTATACGGAAGTTGGCAGCTGCCGCATAAGGTGACAGCAAGTGCCTTCAACACCGGTAGAATCGTTAGAGGGACAAAAACGATCAACAGATTTGTCCGACACTTAAAAGTATCATCGCAAGCCCGTTACGACGATTCACAGGGAACATTCGTCAAAGTTCTCCCGGAACATAATTTAGAAGAGGATGAGAGCATTAGACCTTCCTCCGAAAGAGGCAACGACAACCCCCAATTTAAGTCGTCAGAGAACTTCTTCATTTGTTATGGTGTGCATACTATTTTTCGAGCTTCTTTCTGACAGAGCGTGTGTTTCTGTGATGAGGTTGTGTGTGTAGACAAGCCCACAAGCCCAGCACAGGTGGCTAAAACTTCCCACTGGAACACATTGTGCCAACAAGAACTTTCAAGATCTGTCAACGTCTGACAGCTTGAATGGCCATTAAATCTCGAAAATGACGAATAGCGCAATATCAGAACGACGAAAAGGCGGATTCCGGGTTTAAACTATGAGGACGAAAGTCAGACTCGTTCTGCAGGGCTGTCTACGGGTAGGTCAGCCTCACTTGAATTGGGCCTTGGCAAAATCGGCTGCAATGAGTTTACGCGAGCAGAACATACGTGTAGCACGCCTTAGACGCAGGTCCAGCCACTGCGCCCAACCGCATTTCCAGTCGACTTTACTTGGACAAGCCACTGTGCACGGAGTAGGGGGGTGGGGGGGGCGGAAGAGGTCGACACTGAGGAATCCACCCTCACGACAAATCAGCAAACCGCTAACTTTACTAGACCTAACGTGCCTGAATCTACCACGACGAGCCAACAGCCCTGGCCTGGAAGCTTGCCAACCGAGGGGGTAACTCGGTCCTTCTTAGGACTACAAGTCAGACTGCAATGGCTTCTACTTAATGTGGCCTTCGTGGCCCTTCCACCTGCGTGCGAACCGAGATCACGCACTTAATATGGCCTGGCACGTGTGGTGGGTACCAGGTCGTGTGTGGCACGCGTAGACGGAGGTCTAGATTTGTCGGCCACTGCACCTGCCGACACCACCATCGGTCGTCTTAACTTCGTCTCACAGTTGAAAAATGGTGAGTGAGTGGGGAAAAAGTGCAGCAGATGCTGCGCAAGTCCGCCACCTCCCCCCCCCCCGAACCACCGCTGCTGGATCCACCTGGTGGGGCAGCGGTTGACGTCGTTTGCGACGGGCAAACTATCGTTTCACAGGGGAAGCCGGAAGTCAATAATCGCTCGCTGTGTGTCCTATCTAGTGCCTTACCAAACCTTACATACCCTTGCCACTCTGTCTGGATCTCGAGTTTGTGTACTAAAGTCCTTTCGGTGGAAGTCAAGGTCGTGTCGATCATCAAAAAATTTCTGCTTTGCAGGATCGAGTTGACACAAAACACGCAAAATGGAAACGGGCAAGTAGACTCGACTTACCGCGAACAACGCAGTACGGGTCAGATGAATTCTTTCCAACAATATTTATGTCCGAAGCAACCAGGTCGCTGGCAGATATGACATTTATGCGGAGAACCCCCTAAATTTGAGGGTATAAAGGAACAACGTCAAACGCAGCATGACGCAAGAAACCTAACGACGTACATTAAACGTAAGCAGAGTGATACTTTGTTTGCTCTTCGGAGAACCCTAAGAGTATATTCGGGTACAGCTAAAGAGTTTCGAAGGACTGTGCTAAGAGAATAACTTTTTCGGTCATGTATGTGGTCGACAATCATCTAATCACGGGAATTCAGTGCCTTGTGGTAGAGGTAAATTTCCGAGAAAAGGTAAACAGGTCCTTGACGACTGGTGAAGACGCACAAGAGGTAGAATGTAGTATTTTAAAAAAAGTGTTCACCTGTGCTGATGGAAATTTCAGATGCGCCATCGAGACATCATCGACAAGCGAGACGGAAATGCGGTTCGGCAGGACACATAAGGAGCTCACAGCATCCTGTACAGTCCGATTTAAAGTTTGTCTGTAAGAGAAGAACAGTGGCTAAATAAAGTATTTACCTTTTCTCGTTCGTACACAAAAACAGGGCATCAAAGTATTTGTTTAGAAAAAGGGAAGAAGGGGTTCAAGCCGGCAAAATGACTCACTGAAGTCCGGGAAGTGACAGCACGTTTCCAGCATGCGTAAGGATAAAGTTGATATACTAGAAAATGCCCTGTAGGAAGAATTGACCTACTGGATTGTCCAAAAAGCATACCGTCACTGCTCCGGCAAAAGGAATTTTCGGAACGAGAGGCTTCATCAACACCCTGAGTGTTCCTCGTAGCTGAAAAAGAAGCAATTTCCGCATCAGATTGGGTAATCTGAAAAATGAAGGCTTAATAAGTGCATGACCGCTAGGCGAAGACTTCATACTAATCATACAAGTAAGGAAACGTCCAAAAGTAAACTATTCGAAGTAAATTAGACTTTGAGCTCAATATGGGCAGTTGAAAGGATATTGTTTGGTCAGCCTCCCAGTTATGCAAGAGGCTCAATTTAAGGGTCAGTTGGTGGAGATAAACTACGTCGAAGGTGCTTGCGACTCTTCTAGCCTACTAAACCTATCCGCGTTTTGGCAAACTTCTGAAACGGTTAATTTCGTAGTAGGAGGGGAAAAGTACAAATGCCGTGAACTGCATAGGCCGTGCGGACCTTCAGTAGGAGAACGTTCTTGGGACAGCCTGTTAGACATTTTTGTTTGAAGATATATTTAAGAAATAACCAATATAGTACGAGCGTCAAGCAGAGGCATGAGGACATTTCTTCTCGCCCAACAAAGCTCTTCGTCCTCAAGCATGCCCACGAAATTGCATAGTAGGACGGAACTGGGTAAACAGTATGTGGCGCAAAAGGAAAAATATTTAGACTTAAATTTGTTTCCGTCAACCATTTACATGACTTGTCTTGGCATTATGGAAGATCGGGCAAGAGACGGTCTACTCAAATAGGTGCAACGGGACACAATAAATTACAGAAAATGCTGGTGGCGTTTATCATCGGGATGGAACGTTTCCATCGAAATATGAACGTGAAATTGGGAGCGATTCCTGTCAATAAAGTTAATATGTTCGCACGAAATTTGTTAGCACCCCTGGGTAGAAAGCAGTGTACTTGAGTCGATACAGCAGTGCAGATAAAACGAAAACACTAAAAGTAACGCATACTATGCATTCACCTGGGTCCTGATAGAGGCCTGTTAATGAACTCGTAGCCTCAAATGGACGAACAAACTGGAAGCATGGACGCGACGCCGTAAAAAAAGTGGTGAGAGAAAGAGAGCGCGATCGACCCTCTTCTTCTTTACTAATAAGAAGTATACGTAAAAACCTCTAGGCGAAGGTCCTTCCGATGACTTACCTAATTGCATGAAACTTTTTTCATCTTAACTAGGCATACTTAGTGTTTGTGGATAGTACGAGCTGATTAAGTTACGCAGAGTTCGCATTTGCATCTTTCATCAGTATTCGACCGCACTGACCAGGGCATTCTACCACATAGAAAGTACCTAGCAGCGTAAGTTATGCGTGTCGCAATTAACTGAAACATGGACATGTAGGAAGCCCTGGGATTTGGTCGTTTTGTGTGTTTTGATGGAGACTTGCAAACACTCACGCTGCATCTAGATGGTTCAGATGAGCATGATCGTGATTGATTTCTTAAAAATCGTCCCCAATTCCGATAAAAGGCATACCGAGTTCTCATAACCATCATTACTTGTGTTTTTGTGAAATGCGCTACCATACAAGCACGCATGATGTCTTCTTCGCATAATAACTTGACCCTTCGCGGTAACAAACGTATTGCCCGTGAGTGCCTTTACCTCATTTTGCCAGCAATATTCTTTAAATATGCAACATTAATCAGCAGACGGATAAAAGAGAACGTCCGAGAAGCGGTGCGATAATCGCAAAGCATTCATCAAACAAAATACATGTTTCAATACCTCGAAGTCCTTCACGCCGGCAATAATCTTCCCAACTGAAACTTTGATTCTTGCATCGCTATAAAACCTTCAAGAGATGGTGAACCAGGTGTAGGAGGCACAAACATTAAATCGACGTCCATCACTATTTCATCGCGACGTATGCTTTCTTCGGTATAAACTTTTACACCACCAATTCTCGGGGGCTAACAGAGTAAGGCAAATTCGATATTACCGTGTCACCGAGGTCGGTTCGTTGGAAAGTAAAAGGTCGAAGAGATGACGGCAAACAACCATCAACGGCTGGCTGTACAGTCTTTAGGAGAATGTCGTTCACGTAGTCGGAAATAAAAGGCCACATTCTATGGATAACCTGATATTGGAAATGAGCTCCAGGAAATTCAGTTCAACCTTATTTAGCCACTCCGCCCTCTCGACATCTGGAAAATATACCCACGATGGGAGCTCGTGGGCGCCAATATTGTCTAGGATCGATTGTTTTTCGTTGAATCCTATTGCTTTGAGAGCTCCGCTTATAAGGGCACGCTTTTGACGCATGCGGGTATATGTTAGATAGCCCACAGCTCCTAGGGCTACCCAACTTGGGCTAAAGCGATAGTACCCAAGACCCCATAATGCAAGCCAGCTACTTAAAAGCTTGCAACAAGCAAGTGCCAATGGTAAAATGTCGAACTTTATCCTTTTTTCCGACTGTTCATTTTTTAAATCAGGATCCCGAGGCGGCACCTCAGACATCTGTAACAAACACCTGGCGGCCTATTCTTCTCGTCCGCTTAAGTTTAAGCTCATTAAAACTAGGCAGCGGTTTACTCAAAATTTCTCTGCAGATTCTTTGGGGTTTATATACAATTTATATGTCCATCATCATCAAACTTACTTTGTTGCATGATAAACTCGTCCGCAAAATCTTCCACCAAGCGGATTACCTGTCCTATGTTAATTATTATTTATTGCCGGGACCGTAATATATCTGCATTATAGGAGCAACCATCCTATCTCACACAAATTCATCAGTGCTTTAAGTTTGCCCAATCCATTAAGCGCTTATTTTGACGAAAATTGTCATTGATTTGAACTAAACTGCTTGTTAAGATTATTTTTTCGAATTTGGATACGCTGAAATTTTGCGCTCAGGTTCATTATAATGTAAGGGTCAAAAGAAAAGGGATTAGATATTTCAAAGCATGCGGGGAAAACCAAATATTTGGAAGGCCCATCCATGTCTTAAAAACGTACCTAAATCCGATGGAAGAAACATGAGGAAACACCACATACAAGTGAAACACAACCGACGGCTCCGTCTCGCATTCAGCTTGCAGACCCTAAAATGTTGGCTAATTATTGGCACGATAAAGAAGTCGACCAAGCAATCCATTGGAAAAACTGTGATACGGCATGCCATGGCTAAATTGGAAATTTTGCCTCTAGCACGTTCATGCACATTTATTGTCAAAAATGTGGCGGGATCGCCTGTCCCAAATGATTTTTCATGCCCCACACACGAATCCTAAATTCGTCAGGGACTACGCTTACCTTTGTCAGTGTTTACCTTTTTAGGCAAAGCAAGCAGTTTCTTAAGGCGAGTTGGGCATTAATCGGCACATTGAGTTGGACGACGTCTACAAACGTCGCAGTGGTATCTGAGGAGACGACAGTCAATCGAATCATGATGAAGACGTATGACGAACAAGTGTTGGTGTAAACTTCAGAGTTATATTTTTTGGAGCACCTTAAACTGTTAATTGTCCTTCCACGTTTGTTCTACCTCCAGCAACGGCGACCTCGGAAACCGGGGTCGAAAATTTGCAAAATAAAGTTTCATCTTTTCCCCGAAGAACATATTTGGCTTAACTTTATATTTCTTGGAATGCTTCGCCTTTAACGCATAACGCAATCTGTGCAAACGACCTAAATAGGGATAGTTTCGAACAAAAGTGAAACAAATGTTCTGTAAGACGCCGAGTCCTGCCTTTTTTCAAGAAAGAACATAAACGTATTTATCTGATATAGCGACGATTGCGCAAATGGGCAAGTTTATTTTCAGTTTTTTGCACAGTCTATTAGATTTACATTACTGATACCGTTCCTGAAAACAAGGCAATTTGCCGTCGGCCACGCTGCAAACCAATTTTGTGAAAATGCCAACTTCTATCCGACACTGAGATGCTTTCGTGTTTGCGCAGGGAGTGAACAAGAAATTTTTTCTTTCCGAAGATGCTGCCGAAAGTAATTTCGATAAAATTTTCAAATTGTTCAGTAAATGTTGTTGAGCTGCATCTCTGGAGAATCTAGGCTTTGAATATATTCAGGGCAACACAATCAACATTTTTGTCCTGGTTAGCAGGCGTAGACAAAAAATATCAGCACGAGGATTTTATTAGGCACTACATTCCATGTCACTGTCGTAGGCGGCAGAAATCACTGCCGAGAACAAAGTAAGTGCTCACCTCGTCCAGTTACGTCTAAGAGAGACGGGAACAGTAGTGACAGCTGCTTTAATAGGCTTATGGGGCATGCTCAAGTGTTTTCCACTTGACATGTTTTGCATTACCCCTGGGGTGGTGTGTCTAATAACCTGGGTTGCCTCGACCAAGGCCTGGTGTGTTCAAGAAACACATTGGCCGTCGCGACCGCCATTAGGCATGTGTGTCCGGCTGATGTCGGCGGCGTGGCCTCAGGACAATGCGTCTGCTATTGGGTGGGGCCGCTTTGCAGAAGTGGATTTTATGGTGGAGCTGAATGACCCCTAGTCTTTTCAACTGCGAAGTAAACAAGGTGGCCGTTGCAGCGATTGTGGCCGATTACAGTCGCAGGGAGTGGAATACGGCCACTGCATCTCGAAATCGTTTCATGAATTGGCTCCCATTATCTAATTTCTCACATTAAGTTCCCGAAAATACACTTTCCAGCTACTAAAATGTATTCGTTCGCCTGGAAACTTGTGACGTCTAAAACACATAGGAAGGCTTATGCTGTCCTCCCAGGATGATTAAATACTGCTTTCGGAACAGGCCAACACTTGAGGAATGATACGTACAAGTAATAACACCCATGCTGAAGTCGTTTTCGATTTACTCTCTGCATTTTGGTTGGCGATTTTTGACTTTCTGGGCTTGTCGTGCCCTTTTTCCATCAAATATAAAAAGCCTGGTAATGGACTCCAAAATTTCACGAGTTTTTTCTAGCCCACCCTGTTCTTATTCATCGGATAAGAAAAAATCCGATAATAGATTGCAAAGATCCATGTGCATGCGTTTTCTGTCATCAGTAACCACGCCACATGAACATAATCTTGCGGGTAAAACCCAGGGAAATGTACAGTGAGCGACCGATCTCATGAACTGTTGGTCGGAATTCTGAAATGTGTTTTCGATTAGGAAGGACTACATAAGTGCGTAATCCCATAATATTTCCCACTTGCCAGGATTTTGGCTTTTGAATGCATTACTTTCCGACCGTCTGTAGAAACCAAACTCAGTAAAAGAATAACTGCTAAAGTATCATGCATTTTCGCGTAGATTCTCGATTGTCTAATAAATCCAAATATACTTAATAGACTAACACAAAAGCTATGTCTTCTTTTACCTGTTTCGTAGATAATCACATTGCTTTCACATTTTATGCTTGAAGAAAGGATATCTTTCAGATTTAAAGAAGTTCCTTATTATGCGATATTTGAAGACCGTGCAATGTTCATTCGTACAGCATAGTACACGTACATTAATCAATGCTCCTCATGAAATATACAACATATTCCGCATTCACTGCAAAATTTAATGAACCATATATGGTATCTTCTTAAAGGCATGGGGGATGTATGATTTTCCTTACGCGGAAGGCATATATCCTGTAGACTGAAATAGCTAAACGCTAATGCAACGACCAATCAAGCTCAAAATGATTCGGGAACTGGTAAACTCTTGCAAAACCTAAATATACCCTTCCTTCGTGTACAAAATGCAAAAATAACATGAGTAACTACCAATCAAGTAGAAGAAAACATATTTTGTGCGGACCTTCTACTGAATATATTTTGATTTATGATGCGATCGAAAATTTATGCGAAAATTCGTGCTACATAAATAAGTATTTTTTACCGAGTGCGGTTTCTACAGACGTTCGAAAAGAAGTGCATTCATGAGCCAACATCCTGGCAAGTCCGAAATATTATGGGATTATACAGCATGATGATGAATTTTAAAAACCCGCCTATGTAATCCCTCCTAATCGAAAACGCATTTCAAAATTCCGGCCAACATTTAATGAGATCAACCACCCGCTGTATATGTTCAGTTCAGTTTATTAAGGGGAAGGTAGGCGAATGCCTTTGAATTCCCTATCAGTTACGATACCTTCGCGAAAAACAATATGTAAAGCAAGTATGAAAGAAGGCTGGATAGCTAACTGTATGCAATAAGCATGTGGTACTTGTATGATTGTGTCAGTGTGTGCATAATGTGTCCAAGTTGTGAAATAATCATTACGCGGTACTGAAATGGTCCAAATTATGTGCAAACGAGCGCTCATGCTTCAGTCATGATTCATTGGTTCGCATGTAGGCGTCGGATGGAGGCATTTAACAAAACGTTGTGACACAATGTTACTTAAATATAGATAATAGTACATTCTGTAAAGTATAGCGGGTAGGAGTTGTGGAAGAGGAACACTTGTTAACTTTTCATGACGTAATGACACATATTCCTGTACTCATCAAGCATCCTCTCAAATGTATCCACGGATGACGACATGACGACGTCCACAGGCAGAGAATTCCACGCCTTAGTCAGCCAGTGTCTGAAGAAGAATTTTCATGCGTCCTGTCTTGCCTCAGTCACACGTAGTTTGAAAGGATGTTCTGTCAAGATAGTAGTGGTGGTCGGCTCAAAAAAGTCGGTGGATGCGAGGCAATAATCTTGACCCCGTAGCACGCAAGACGTTTGAATTAAATCTCTACGAACCTCTCTGTAGTCAAGGGGAAACGGGTAAAGATTGACCAGTCGAATTTCGTAAGCTAGGCTTTTGAACCTCTGACAAGCCTGGTTGCCCGTCAATGACTTTTTCAAGGGTGGTACGGTCTTTAACAGACCAGGGTCTCCAAGTCTGAATGACAAATCCCAATTGTGGCCGCATGAACATCCCGAAGACCTTGCTAAAGCACTTTTCGTCGAACTTCGCGAATGCCCGCTTGATGAGATATAAGCTGAACATTGCGGATTTCACCACTTTCAAGCAGTGGAATGATGGCTTTAGTCAGAATGATATACACACACCTAGATCCTTCTGAACCTCTACCTCCGGTAGCGGCGTGTGATTTAGATTGTACTTCCCCCGTTGCGCAGAGGTGGTGCTGCCAATTCACAAGATGTTGCATTTATAGCATTGAATTGGAGGAGCCAATGACTCGACCATTTCTCGAGTTGGTTCAAGTTTGCCTGTAGATTTACTCCATTGTTCGCGTTGCGGTTGACGTCTCAAAGCTTTATTCCGTCAGCGAACATGGCAATGTTGCAGTTCAACCCACGGATGCAGTCATCGATATTTATTTGCAAGAGGATAGGTCCAAGAACAGAACCCTGAGGTACGCCGCTTGCAACCGTCACCCCCGATGATTGCTGGTTACCAGGACGGCCAATCTGAGACCGAGTAATCGAGAAGTTTTCGGTCACCTCTAAAATCTTGCCCCTTACCCCTGTGCGGCTGAGCTTCTAGAGGAGACGATAGTGTGACAGACTATCAAAGGACTTCTTGAAGTCTATGTAGATAACATGCATCCCGCTTTCTCCATAAATCGCTCGGGTTCACCGTTCTAGACAGTAGAGTAAATTGGTCAAACAGGACCGTCCTCTGCAGAATCTACGCTGCCCATCAGACAGATGATGATGCTGCTTTAAAAACTGCATCAGTTCGCGTTTGACAATTTGCTCCACGACTTTGTAGCATATGGGGGTGAGGCTTGCCGGTCGGTAGTTGTTTGCGGAAGCGGGACTGCCACTTTTGAATGTCGGTGAAATGCACGTGGTCTTCCACTCAGGAGGCAGTCTGCCTGCGTCGAGGGAGGCTTGGAAGAGAAGACATAGATGTTCCGCCAATTCTGCGGCTAACTCCCTCAACAACTTTGCTGGTATTCCATCGGGACCTGACGATGTCGCTTCCTTCAGCTTCAGTAGATCTTGTTGAAGACTAGTTTTGCGAGTACCACTGAGTCACTTTTTCGGACCTCATCTACGTTATAGTTATCAGCGAGCAAATCGAATTCCCTCGTAAAAACCGACTGAAAAAACCTGAATAAATGTTCAGCCTTTTCGTCTTTTTAACAAAGTTCAGAGCCATCATCCGTTTTTAACATAGGACTGGGAGCCCTATTGCGAGTGCTCTGTCTTATGTAGTCAAAGAAGAGCCTTGGGTTTTCTCCTGGATGGTTAGGCAGGTTAATCTCGAAGTCTTGATGGACTTTGTAAACAAGGCACCTTATTCTATTTCACTGCGCCTTGTACCTCTTCGTTGATTCGACTGTCTTCTCCCTGAGGTAAGCTATCCGCAACTTTTGCTTACGGTCTGCTCCTCATTTTAGTGTGCCTTTTAGCCATCGGGGCCTGTTGGTGATTTTTTGCGATCTAGTGCAGTATCTGATGATATGTTCATGCGAAACGGCCTTAAATCCTAACCGATCATCGAGAACACACCCCGTGACTGTTGCTTTCCAGTCTATACGACGCATGTCGATAGGCGTTTGTTTGAAATCTGCACACCATATGTTGCGTTTTACCGTGACGCTTTGATCAGGTACAGAGAAGAGAGAATACTCCCACTGTAGGACTACATGATCGCTTTTTCCGAGAAGGGGTAGACATTTCACGACATCAATGATGTCAGGCGCTTTTGTCAATATCAGGTCCAAACAGCTAGCTAGTTGTCCTTCACGAAGTCTGGTTGTACATGAGACGTATTTTGTAAGATGAGACTTTGGCACTGCTTGTAGGAGGTGGCGATCAAAGTTGAATCCCGAACCTAGGGCAGACGGCAGATTCCAGTCGATATTCGGAGCGTTAAAGTCTCCCATAATCATCACATCGAGTCCGAGCGAAATCGCCTCTAATTCCTCTATCAGACTACTGTCTGACTGCCGATCGTTCCTCTGTGGGTAGTAGACCGTCAGGATCTCGAGAGCTTGTGACCCAGATTTGATGGTGAGCCAAATTGTCTCATTTGCGCATGCGAACTGTCCCCCTTCTTCTAACACAAACAGACCATTTTTGACATAGGTGAGCACACCCCCCACCTTAACGTTTCACTCTATCCTTTCCGAACAAGTGATAGCCGAAGAGAGCGACTTCACGATCGTTTACGTTCGCGGAGGTGCGTGTTCAGTTATGGATATTGCAAATGGTAAGGTTTGGCTGACGTAAATCTTAAGCTCGTGTAATTTAGATAGCAGACTTCGTGCATTGGTATATGAACATTTTAGCCTTTTTGCCTTTGGCAAGCTGGCTATGCCGCCGCCGTTGACATTTTCTCCAGCTGTGGTGACATGCGCACAGGATGAGTGCATATAAACTGGGACGGCCGCTCGATTATACAGTTTTTGTATACAATCATGCTTTGTTCGCCTCTCCTCTGTCTCAGCCTGAACACCTGGACTACCTACCGGCTTCTAACTAATCCAGCTTAAAGGACCCCTCAGTGAGAATATTTTAATTAAAAACGGCTTGAGAAGATGAGATCAGCATGCACTTTGCAACTCATAACAATTTTGAGGGGCCTAGGAGGCGATGAGATGGAGAGTTGGGTAGTGTGCCTTCCGAGCCTAAAGGCTTTAAATACTGAAACTTCTACATTGGGTTGAAGTATTGTGTTTAGAAGAACTTGGAAGAAGCCGAGATCCGCTAGAACGCGTTTTTAGGTGTGCTTGCGTGTGCATCTTTAAGTCCCTGTACTACGAAGAACTATTTTCGGAGCGACCTGTCTTTATTGCTTGGTGGTGGTGACTTGGGAGTTTCTGACGAACCTTTCATGATGATGTTCTGGTTGCCATCCCCTTTGGAGACCCTTTCTTTAACTATCGGCGCCGTGTTCGTGGTAATGCTGTCCCTATCTCTTATTTCAATATAGAGGATATTCGCATTCGCCGCAACTGCGTCTACTCGTTCGCCGTTGGTTTCTGTCGAATGCAAAGACAAGTTCTGATTTTCCACCTTATAAAGTTTTTTTATAGAGTATGACGAAGCCGTCCGGTATCTCTCGTTCTATTCAACCATTAGTCTATTTTGAATTAATTTCCTCTTTCGATGTGCTTTCGGTTGTCTGTGTATGGTCAAAATCCCACTGTCAATCGCCTGCTTCCTTCCGGTCTTTTGAGGATGCGGTGATCATCTGATGTCTGCTCTTCTGGAGTGGTTGAAGATCATGCCTTGTTATTTTCTCCGCGGTTCCTTCTGAGGTTTCCATCCATGCGGTAGTCTTTTCTATTCTGAATCCTTTTACCTCCTTCTGTGGTGGGGATCGGACAGCTAAGAATCTGTCAGGGAGTTGGTCATCGTTCTTCTACCGACTGGTTATCGAATGGTGAATGTACACTGCCATTTTCACTTCCCAACTTAGATTGCGATTTTCGAGTTCCGTTTAATATTGTTCTTGGAGAGAGTGTTGCAGTATGTTCTTGTCGTCCTTCTCCTCTTTTCCTAGCACTTTTTATATTCCTCTGGCGAGCGACCTCCTGATGTGATAAATTATAGCACTAGGGAGTACTTTTTCTTGTGTTTCGGCTGCGTTTAATCCCTCTATTAGTGAGTGACTGTCAATTAACTCTATCACTTTCGAAACGACCTCTTGGTTGCAACTGATTTCATCAACTGGCTTGATTTTGTCGTATTTTGGCAACAATGTAGTGAGATGTATGAGGAAGTTCATGTTCATCTCCAGTGATGTAATATATAGCTCGAGATCTCTACAATATTCACACCGTGGACAAAAAATTCTAAACGTCAGTATCGTGTAGAAAATCCTGTGTAGACGAAGCGGGGTGTAGGGGTGTCAGCGGTGGGTTCACGTGATGGCAGGTGAGACCACGCCTAACGTCCATTTGTTGGCACCCAACTCTCACCTGTGGCTCCACGTACCTGGGCTCTGCTCAGCAGCCAAACCCCGGGCAACCGCCTCGACCAGCAGGCTACACCAGGTAAGGGCGGTTACTCCCGTTGCACGTTGTGCCACGTGCACAGGGTATTGCGGACTCCGCTGGACGGTTGGTCGGATGGAACATCGCGTCGGCACGGTCGTGACGAGGCTCCGTCCGGTACACCGCTGGTCAGACGGTGGGATGGATCTCCGAATCGGCATCGCCGACACGCACCCATCTGGTGCACCGTTGGAGACCGCGGGCTTACAGCGATGTCGTAAGCCATTGGCAAATTCGAGTCGTTCTTCCATTGCCAAGAAAAGTCGTGACCCACAGTGGAGTTCGGCCGCGCCGGCACATCAAGCAGCCCCATTCAGGGGGGCACTGCTTCTCTTCGGAGGGGGCCTGGAAAAGCTGGCCTAAAGATTGCTAGGGAACCACGTCGTCTTCAGGCTGACCGTGTTCGCAGACGTAAAACGCACGGTCGAAACAACCAAACTCGAAACGACAACAACAATACTCGTCTTCCTCATCTTACCTCTTCTTCCTCTTCCTCTGTCTATTCTTCTGCCTATTCTTCTCCTTCGTCATCTTCTTCTCCACCTCCTTCCCGTTGCCCCACTCGTCGCCAGACTGACAGGGTGAGTCCGGTCACTCTGGCAGCCCAGAATGTTCTTTCCCTATTAGACAATCCGGGGCAACCGACCGGAACGGAGGACGGTGGCTCGCGAACTGGCGCGCTACAAGGTGGATATCGCCGCACTCAGTGAGACTCGTTTCCCCGAACAAAGCCAACTGCAGGAGGTGGGTACCGGCTACACCTTCTTCTGGAGTGGTCGTCCCAGGGCAGAGCGATGAGACGCGGGTGTCGTCTTCGCCATCCGGAACGACATCGTGGGACGACTGCCCAGTTTGCCGCAGGGCATCAACGATCGCCTGATGAGCCTCCATCTACTTCTCCTAGGGGGCAAATTCGCCACCATCATCAACGCCTACGCCCCGCCGATGAGCAGCCCCGAGGCCGCAAGGGACGAATTCTACGAGGACCTGCACGCTCTCTTGACGTCTGTGTCGAAGACGGACAAGTTGATTGTCCTTGGTGATTTCAAAGACCGCTTCCGCACAGACCATGCTGCCTGGAGAGGAGTGCTAGGACCTCATGGTCTCAAAGGCTCCAACGACAATGGCCTGCTGCTCCTCCGCACCTGCGCAGAACACCGCCTCATCCTGACGAACACCTTCTTCTGTCTGCCGGGGCGAAAGAAGGTCACCTGGAGGCATCCTCGGTCGCGTCAGCGAAATTTGCTGGACTATATTCTCGTCCGGAGGCGAGACCAGCGGGGCGTGCTGGTGACAAAGGCGATCGCGGGCGCTGACGGGTGGACCGACCATCGCCTCGTCATCTCGAGAATGCGTATTCGCCTACGGCCTCGCAGAAGACCACGAGGCAAGCGATCCCCAGGTAAGCTGAATATTGCCTTGTTGTCTTTGCCCGCCCATCATCTCCATTTCAGCAATGAGCTAGCTCAACGGCTAGACAACCTTCCAGTCGCTGGCGCCACCGGCGCCGCCGCCGCTGCCGAGAATGCCTCCGTGGAGAACCGTTGGTGTCAACTGCGGGACACGGTCCAGTCGACGGCGCTATCCGTCCTCGGTCGCGCTCGCCTCCAACACCAGGACTGGTTCGACGACAACGACGCCGCCATCAGAAATTTGCTCGCCGAGAAGAACCGCCTATACGAAGCCTACGTAGACCACCCCACTGACGACAATAGAGCTGCTTTCTACCGCAATCGCCGCCACCTTCGGCAACGTCTGCGCGAGATGCAGGACGCCTGGATTGCTCGCAAAGCTGAGGAGATCCAAGGCTACGCGGACCGTAACGAATGGAATAACTTCTTCTCTGCGATCAAAGCTGTCTACGGTCCGCCGACGAAGGGCACTGCTCCTCTCCTCAGCGCCGACGGTAGCTTTCTCCTGACTGAGAAGACCCGAATTCTACAGCGATGGGCTGAGCATTTCCGAGGCGTCCTTAACCCCCCCTCCGCCATCTCCAATGCCGACATCGCCCGCTTGCCGCAATTGGAGACCAACGTGGACCTCCACCTCCCGCCATCTCTCCAGGAAACCATCAGGGCCGTGCAGCAGCTCTCCAGCGGGAGAGCACCCGGATTGGTCGCGACCCCTGCTAAGGTCTACAAGCATGGCGGTCCCCAATTAATGGATCACCTGACTGCACTCTTCCAAGAGATGGGGCGTCAAGGTGAAGTCCCGCAAGATTTCAAAGACGCAACCATCGTGCATCTCTACAAGCGAAAATGAAACTGCCAACTCTGCGACAATCACCGCGGCATCTCCTTGCTGAACATCGCCGGGAAGATCTTCGTTCGCATCCTCCTCAATCGTCTGAATAATCATCTGGAACAGGGCCTTCTGCCTGAAAGCCTGTGCGGCTTCCGCCGTCATCGCGGAACCAAGGATATGATCTTCGCTGCCCGCCAACTTCAGGAGAAGTGCCGGGAGATGCGGACCCACCTGTACTCTACCTTCGTGGACCTGACGAAAGCCTTCGACACGGTGAATCGTGAAGGACTGTGGAAGATCATGCAGAAATCCGGAGCGATTCATTGAGATGGTGCGTCCGCTGCACGACGGTATGATGGCGCGAGTCACGGACAACGGAGCTGTCTCAGAGGCATTCGCAGTGACCAACGGAGTGAAGCAGGGATGCCTGATGGCGCCCACCCTCTTCAGTCTTATGTTTTCTGCCATGCTGATGGACGCCTACCGTGATGAACGCCCCTGGATCCGCATCACCTACAGGATGGACTGTCACCTTCTGGATCAACGGAGGATGCACTTCCAATCGCGCGTATGCATAACCCCCATTCACGAACTTCTCTACGCCGACGACTGCGCCCTGATCACCACCTCGGAAGAGGAGATGAACGGAGTATGGACCTCTTCTCCGTCGCCTGCGAGAACTTCGGACTGGTCATCAACACGCAGAAGACGGCGGTCATGCATCAACCGCCACTCCACTCAGCCACTCCTCCCAACGAGCCGCAAATCAGCGTGAACGGAACCCAACTGCAGGTGGTGGAGAACTTCCCGTACCTGGGCAGCACACTCTCCCATAACACCAAAATCGATGACGAAGTCGCTCGGAGGATCTCGAAAGCCAGTCAAGCCTTCGGCCGCCTCCAAAGCACAGTCAAGAATCGTCATGGTCGCCAACTGAGCACGAAGCTGAAGAGGTGCAAGGCAGTAATCCTATCGACCCTGCTGTACGGAGCGGAGACTTGGACAGTGTACACAAAGCAGGCACGCCGACTGAACCACTTCCACCTCAGTTGTCTTCGACGCACCCTGAGGCTGAGCTGGCAGGATCGTATCCCCGACACTGATGTACTGAGACGGACGGGAATCCTCAGTATCTACACCAAGCTGAGACAAATGCAGCTGCGCTGGAGCGATCACTTAGTGAGCATGTCAACGAGCGACTTCCAAAACGGCTCTTCTACGGAGACGTCGCCATGGGTTCTCGACGACAAGGAGGCCAAATTCGTCCATACAAGGATACTCTGAAGTCCTCCCTGAAGCGTCTGCAAATTAACCCGACCAACTGGGAAGAACTTACCCGCGATCAACCGACCTGGAGGAGGAAAATGAAAACAGGCGCTGCGATCTACGAAGCTAACCACATCGCCATCGCCAAAGCGAAAGGCGAAGCACGCAAATCACATCTACGCCCAGTCCGCAACGCCGACGCACAACCGCTGCCAACATGTCCTCGATGCCAACGGACATTCCGGGCACGAAATGGATTTAGTGGACGCCTCCGGATCAACTGGACCTCTCGGACCGCACCAACCGTCGTCCCTCCGCCCATCTCTTCCCGGTCCTCTCCGCCGCCAACTAAATCTGACTCTTCTTCCTAATTACCACTTTCATCCTCCTCCTCCTCCCTCCTTCTCCTCCTGTTCCTCCTCCTCCTCCTCCTTCTCCTCCTCCTCCTTCTCTTCCTCCTGCATTGCCTCAACGACGGCCGCTTAGGCGACTTTCACGCACGACAACACCACACACATCTCTACAACAATAACAGACATCACCCCCACAACCTCCGAATCCGGAGGTGAGGACCAAGACTACACCTACCCTCACTGCGACCGCACCTCTACCTTACGCATCGGCCTGGTCGGTCACTTGCGAATCCATTGCACAGAGGCTGGCGAACCGGTGCCTGGAGCACTAACCTACACTCACCGCACTCACCTCCACTGCCCACATTGCCCTCGCACTTTCAGGCATCACATGGGCCTATTCGGCCACATGCGAATCCCCGATGACCTGCGGTAGACAACCGCCGGTTACACCACACCATAACACCCTCCCTTACCACCACAACCACCACACCATACTTCAACACTCACTTACCGCAGGCACCCAATGGCCACCTCCCACGCAAGTGGAAAGTGTGCACCTCGACTCGGTCCCCATGCGGTTTCGGCTGCACGGGCGACTTGAGTCTGAGACTATCCCGACACGTCAAGCGTCGTGGATAGGTAGGCTGCTGACTGAGGTCCCCACTCGGTCCACGCATTTCGTCGCGTTGTGTGTGTGTGTGTGTGTGTTGTGTGGAGTGACGGACTGGTGGGCTGGGGACAGACTGAAATAGCACCTTCCACGGCCCTCTCACGCAAGTGAGAGACACGCCTTTCAACCCCCCTTGGGTGAAATCCTGGTGCGTGTGTATGGGGGGCCAGGTCGTGTACGTGGCGTGCGCAGTCATGGTCAGTAGACCATGACAGCCACCGCACCCATTTCCCACTCCAGTCTGCTGACCGGCTCGGACAGCGGCTGGGGTGTGGAAATGGGAAGGGAGAGTGAGGTCAACGACTCAGCGCATTTTCTTTGCTATGAACAATCTGACGCGCTTGAAGCTATCACGGTGCGCTAAAAGCCGTGGCTTGGAAGGTTGCCAACTGACGGGGTAACTTGGACCTCCTCCTTGACCGGTGGTGGTCTGAGAGTCAGGCTGCAATGGCTCCTTTTTAATGTGACATTTATGGCAATCCCACCACAGTGTGGGATCCAAGCCAGGCGTTGGCGGCACGCCTAGGTGCGGCTTCGGCCGTGCCAGCCTCCAATCTCTGTTGTGTTGGTCAAAATCCTGGTCATTTGTTGTGTGGACCAGGTGGTACGGAGTGGAGCGCCAAGGTGAGAATCCGTCCGAGCCATTCACCTGCGGCCTCCCTCGTCTCCGGTCTTCTTGACTCTGTCTTGACAGCGGGCCCGGGCGGGAGAGGAGGAGAGGGTGTAGGTGGATGCAGCGCAAGTCTACTGGCACGATAAACCCCTGCGCAAGTCTCCGTCCCTGCTCCCACCGCTGCTGCTGCAGGGCACTCGGTGGACATAATCGAAATCGATGGTCAAACTATCATGTAGTCGTAGCGGACTCACCGGGTTATTTTGCATCGCAGGGCACCTCAATCCCACTGTGAGCCGCTTCTGACGTTTCGCATGTTTGATCCTCCCTGTACAAAGCGAAGTGGTGCCTTTTCAAATGGAGCTGCTAGTGCACTACGTTCCTGGCCAAATATAACATATCCCCGAGGCATGGGTCTAATACACCTAATATTCTTTGGGGGACTATCAGCAGTGGCGATGGTTGAGGGATTTGGGCGTTCGCCTCGTGACGTGGAGGTTGGGAGATCGACCCCCACGCCGCACACACTATTCTTGTCCTGTGGGATTGTTGACTCGTGCACTTCTACACTGCCCATGTCTCTATGAGTCAGAGTCAAGGATGCAATCATGGTCAAAAGTTTGGCAACCGGAAACGGATACGATCAAAAAAGGTCTAATGCATTCACATGCCTAGAAAACTTTAAGCAACAGGGATTTAAAATTCTGCGATTTGGATTTGCAAACGGATTGTTTCTCGCATGGCCAATTATATGTTGCGCGCACTGGAGTCGGAAAACCAGACGATCTCTATATCTGCACAGACAATGCCACGGCAAAACAATATTTTATACCGACAAGCATCGTGAAATTAAACATATTAGGAATCTGCCCCTTCCTCGTTTATTTCTTTTTCATTTCATCAGACTGAGGCACAGTAACACATGGCTGGGTACAACTAGTTGTTCCATACAAATAATGAAACCATGTGCGCGATCGCCGTCGGTTACACCGATAACGAAGAAGATAATGGAGGAGAAACAGAAACAGGATAAAAGTATTTGCATTTTCAAGATCCCATTACATTCGCCGAATATAAGTAGTAAGGTAATAAATGTCGCAAACAAGTTCGGGATATTAGAACTTCTTTTGTGCGCTGACTGTTAACAGAATCGAGTGTGTGTCCCAAGAGGTTTCGTGGGTATATCCGCAGTAGGAAAAGACAGAAAGATAAAATGGCGTATATAGTGGATAACCTCGGAAACGTGTTAGTCAAAGCGCCATAGAAAGTACAATTGCTGTCTCAGTTTTTTCGATCGGCCTTCACAGTGGAGTCTTCTGAAGACAATCAGGACTTTGCAATGGACTATGACAGTCGGGAGTTTCAAACGGGCCAACGCACTGTCGTCATTGAAACCGTTGCCTTTTCCGTCGAAAAATTAAAACGTGTTCTCAGTCATTAAGCCAGACAAGTCTCCTTGACCCGACGGGATTCCTGGGCCTATACTTAAGGAACTACCAACGGACCTGGCAAAGCTTCTTTCAAGTCTATATCAGGTGTCAGTGAGAACAGGGAAGCCGCCATCGCAGTGGAAGACGGCCAAATTTGTTCCTTTACATAAGGGAGGTAATAAAATGACATCAGAAGCTTCAGGCCCTCTATCTTGACTTGCCTGTCATGCAAAACGATGAGAGTTCTAGTAAAGAGTGCTATGCAGCAATTTTGTAAAGAAGAAAAATATATCCTGCAGAATTTTTAGCACGGCTTCCTAAGAGGACGTTCCTGCCTCAACAAGCTGCTGACTTGTCTGGCGTTCTGGACAAGGGCTTTAGAAAAGGGCTTCGAGTTCGACGGCGTGTACATCGATTTGCGCAAAGCATTCGGTACTGTTCCGCCTTCTTCATAAATTGAGCGTCCTTGGAATTCGGGGAGACCTTCTGAACTGGATAAGGGAGTTTCTAGTTAGTCCGAAACAGCGTGTCGGTATCGGAAATGATGTTTGAGACTGGATGAACGTGACTAGTGGTGTGTCTCAACGCTCAGTTCTTGGAGCCTTACCGTCGTCCTTTATGTAAATGACAGTCTTCAAGAACTTGACTGCAGCAAAATAATGAATGTCAACGGTGCAAAGCTCTCGCTAGTCACTAAGGGCTCGAATGATTAGAGAACCCTTCAGGACAATCTGAACCGAGAAATGGCTTCTAGCTTTCAATGTGCAGAAGTGTGCCGTCCTTCATATGCATCCAACTAACTGTCATTCAAGTGATAGCACAAGGGGATATTACCTGAAAGGCATTACTCTTCCCGCAATATCTTCGCAGAGGGATCTCGGTGTCTGGATACAGAGCAACATAAAACCAGCATTGCAGCCTACTTGGGCTGCAAAAAACGCCATCAGAGTACTCCATGCGATCAAAAGGAGTTTGTGAATTTGGATAAGTGCCGTTTTGGGAGAGTTTACAACACCTTTGCTCGGCCTCATCAAGAATATGACATATAAGCTTTATGTCCATGGCTAACAAAGTATCAAACATGCCTCAAAAAGTGCGCCGGGCAAAAAGTTTGTAATCCAATCTTACATGGAAAGAGTTACCTGCCTTAATTTATTCCCCCTATGTTACAGGTAGCAAAGATGCGATATTATCCCTGTTTACGGGGTAATACATGGCCTTGATCATGGACTAAATCTTAAGGACCTGTTTCAGGGACATCTCTCGACATCATTCGTGGCCACTCGATGAAGCAGCGCACCAAAATGTCCAGTCTGAACCTTCGCTCTAGATTTTTTGCACAAAGGGAAGTGGAGAAATGGGCTGATCTCCTCAATCAGTGGTGGGATAGGGAGTCTTGCAGTGCTTTAAGAAACGTTTGGGTGATTATCTGTGTCCCCTGTTTTCCCTCGACAGTCTGAACGTGAGCTAAATACCTCCTTAATCACGGAAAGTTAGTTTTTTTAAACAGTGCAACTTAAATCATGCAAGTGCTATTTTGATAGCAACAATATTTATTATTCGTGTGCAGTTGTACGTAACATACGGGCATGTTATTAATAGGGTTTCCGAAAGCTTTGCCTATCATTCATACCAAACAGACTGAAATAAACTGAACAGCGACAACACAATCCACTTCATTAATACAGTCGTTGATGTATACAGTGAAAAGAGTTGAGCCGAAGAACGGAGCCTTAGGGAACATCACTTTCAACCGCAACCTTCGTCGATTGCAGGTCACTGACGCGGAAATGTTTAGAGCGGTCGATTACAAAACTGTGAGTCACTTCACGGGACTGCCCACAACGCATGCTCGGCTCAGTTCTTTGATACTTACAGGATACTTCGTGTAATGGACAAGAGAGTGCCGCATATTATAATCAGTGTCGCGCTATTTGCACTCCTGAGCGTTCGCGAGAACTTGTTCGATCACATGTTCGTTCTACGACGCGACCCGCGATATTTCCGCACGGTGGCGCAGACTCGAGGGAAACGGTCATATTATGAATCCGTCTGTGCGCCCACATTGTGATGCTGAATAGAAGTTTCCGCTTCCTGAAGGATTCAAGGCAGACGAAGGGAACAACGACCCAAAAAAAACTACCCTCGTAGAGGTTTTCCGTTATCTTTTAACCAAAACCACATGTCGCTCCCTAACCTAGAGCGCTGCTTCATTTCCACTGGATTTTAATTGTTTTTTGTGTGATGTGCACGCGTAATTATTTGATGTTCGCTTCGGTACGTTAACGTTCTCTGGCTGTTTGGTATTTGTGCCTTATATGAGTGCGTTTTTGCACTTGTTATCATTTTTAAGACATTCTGTCTAGTGAATAAGGCTTTCGCCCCTGTGATAATGTGGATGTTGTCTGTGCATTACTGCACAGATATTAGAGCTTCCGTTATCTACCCTTATTTTCCAGAAAACGTGGGGTTCCTGAATACTTTATAAGCTCCAAATGAAGGAGACCGTGGCTCCCGCATAGCGCCCCTGGCAGTCCCGCGTATGAGGGGGCCATGTGCTGGCAGGGTTTACTTAGTGTTTCGTTGAAATATTTCCAGTTGCTTACTTAATTCCCGGTTTTATTTTTCGTTGCCCTTTTCCCTATTTTATGCCCCTTGCGACTTTAATTTTACTTTTCTCCTTCTCGATAGCACAAGTTCCCCTAGCCAACTTATCACTACTTTCTCTATTTCCCTATCCTGATCTCCATCTGATACTTAAGCCCTAAATTGGACTTTAAACCCCTCTCAGGTTCTCACTAAAAGGAACACTATTACTTTGGTCTCAGTGGGCTTAAAATAAAATTCGGAGATCCAGAATTTGTTACCATTAGTGCCTCCATAAGACTATGATTATGAGATTACAAATTCGCCTTTACGACAGTTAAATACGAAACTCTAGTGTTGTTTCCTCAATTATCTCATGTAAAACGGGCTTGTAGACAGTTTCTTCCTTATCTTCCGTTCCATCTGTTTTCGTCTATTTCCTGGGTTACCTGTCTTTGCACATATTAGTTTAGCGCGCTTTCTGTTTTTCTAGCCAGTGAGCGGATCATTCAGAAGTGTTGAACGCGGTGCCAGCTGCTTGACTGCGGCCTATCCAATTTACTACTCGTCAGTCATTCCGGTCAAGAGGGATGTCAAGTATAGCTACCAGACGTGTTCAGAAAGAGTTACTTGAATTTCAGAAAGGCACTGATGTGAGTGACGCATGATTTTTGATGTACAATTAGGCTTTCGAAAATCCAATTGAAATTCGGCCCATCTCTGATAATATAATGAAACTCGAAGGCACAATTTCCGGACCTCCCGATACGCCTTACGAAGGCGCACGTTATACTCTCGAGATTCTTATTCCGGACAATTACCCCTTTGCCCCACCAAAGGTACGTTTTTATGGTCTCATCATTCTGTAGGTAAAATTCTTGACAAAAATCTGGCATCCCAACATCAGCAGCGCAACCGGTGTTATCTGCTTGGACATCCTGAAGGATCAATGGTACGCATTACTTAGTTCTATGGTCTGTTTGTCACTTTTCTGTCCCCGCTGTGTGTCACGACGAGTTTAGCTTTTGTCATCCCTGTTGTCGACAGCAGGGATCTTCAGTTGTTTCAATTTAATTGGTACTTTTATCCATACAGGCATCCCCTCAAAATTTGAGAGCCACAGAAGTCTCAGCCTCGTTTCAGTTTTTCCTGTACTTTCTACTTCTCTAGCGCCTCAGATTAGGTCTCTCCTTTATCAATTTTTGTTGGCGACGTCGCTAACGGTAAAAAAAACTTGTCTCAGTGGCGAAGGCTGTCAGACCTTACCTTTCTTCCAAGTTTCTTGTGCTTGGTGACTGATTTTTCAGATTGCCACTCCGACCTTTCCATTCTTCGCGATAAAGCGTTTTAACCTTTGTAAGTGCATAAGTAAGGTAACCCAGAACGACTACTTTTGATTTGTATGCGTTCACGCACCTCGATCGCTGGCTAAGACTATCTAAGATTCCAAGGCCAGTCAGCCGCTTCCAGACAAATAAGACATCAGACAGAGTCACGGGTGTATGCTCTTACAGTTGTGGGTGGGAATTCCCATTGATATCATTTCGGTTTCGTCGGTACACCCTGTCCTTTAGGCCATATCAGCAAACTTGTCCTCATTGTCGTAGTGTCATAACCACCTATTAATGGGTATTTTTTTCAAACTTGCATTATTCACCGTTTTCGTTTGTGGAAAACTCGGTGAGGTACGAACCCACGACAACAAGTGTGGGACTTGAGTACAGCCAACGCTCTAACCACCTGAGCAACGAGCCCCCAGCAGAGAGCCGCGAGTTAAATCAAACTTGAGTCAAGTTGCCCGCTCAACCTACTGCAACGCATGACACAATAAGCCGACTGCCCAAGCAGCGTTTCCTAAGCAATCAATTCGGATGTCTGCTAGGCTCATCCAACCAAAAGATGCTTTCTGGCACATGTGAATAATCCATATGATGCACTTGTGAAAAACTCGACGGCTCTTGGGGTCCGAACCCACGACAGCATGCGCAAAGTATACGCACACCCGACCCACCTGCTTGGGTAGTCAGCTTACTGCATCAGAGTTAGTGGATTCCATACGTTACAGTAGGTTGGGCGGGTAATTTGGTTTAGATTTCGGCACTTCGTCGGGTCATCGTAGTTAGGACGTCGGTTTTACTCAAGCCTTGCACTTGATGTAGTGGGTTTGAACCATACCGAAGCTGCCGAATTTTTAGCAATTGGGACGGATGAGAATTATGTTGCATCTGCATGTCGCACTTTACCAGGTTACAGCAACACTGACGCACCTCTTCTACCTTTTTCATTTGAAAAAGACTCCTTCTAAGCCACATCGTTTTACCACGTTCATAATACTTTCTAGGATGGAGGTCTAAAACACCCAAGCTATACTCTTACCGTCCCCATTGACTGACATGGTTTGTTAAAAGGCCTTAGTGCCATGCTTTAAAGAAGTGTTAATCGGCCACGTAGACACCACTGATGTTGCATACTTTCCGGAGGGCCGACAAAGACGATCAACTGTCTAAGTCTGAACGACGGTTTTTTCCATGTTTGTTCTTGCCAAATTGCGACTGTTTACTTCAATAAGTTCGTTCCAATTTAAAAGCCGTTAGGGCAGGTGGTCAGCGGGTTCGGCAATCATATTTATATTTGTGTCGGCTTTCTACATGTCAGGGTTTAACTCTCCTAACGGACCATGCTCTGGATGCGCTAAATCAAAACAGAGTCGAACCTAAGGCACAGCACGCGTTAGCCATACGGAGCAGTCTTCACATCCCCACGACACGTTGCACATGCATTGGAACGTGGTGGCACGCCTGGGCGCGGTCTCCACGCCGCACCAGCCACTTGAACCAACCCCAGCATCAGATGACTGACGGGCTCGGGCAGTGGACCAGTGCATGAGAGCGGGAAGAGAAGGCGAGGTGGAAATTGCGAAATCCATTCTCACTGTATTTCAGTGTATTCCTCATCATGAAAAATTGACACGCTTGAGCCGTTTACACTGCGCTAGTCGCCGTGGCGTGCAAGGCTGCCCACTGACGGTGTAACTCGGCCCTCTCAAGATGGAGAGTCAGGCTCAATGGCTCCTTAGTGTTTCCTCTTTGGCACTCCCACTAAGCCGGGTTCCGGACCGCCCTCTTTTCTGCGAAAAGCGGGTTCATTGTGTGAAGACCAGGTCGCATGTGGCACGCATAAATGGGTTGTTTGGATTTTTCAGCAACTGCGCCCGGTCTCGCCTCCGGTCATCCTGACTGTGCCCTGCCACCGGGCCCAGGTGGAGTGCGACAAACGCTGCGTGAATTTGCTATCACAGAGTTAATTCATGCACAAGTCACCGTCTCCGCGCCTACCATTCTGTGAGACAAACAGTGGATATCGTCGTACGCGACGGTCGAACTATCGTCGCCAGGGAACTGGGATCGGGATCACTGAATCTAAGGTCGGGTAGCAATTCAACTCATAAAAGTGTCAGCAATGATGTCTTCTACGCTGATACCGCGATAGCACTCATGTCGACTCACTTCCTAGGCGAATTTAGCAAGTCAGCGTAGTGTGCTGCGTAGCCTTCTGCATTTTGCGGCCTAATGACACGGTGCCCGATTGTGGATTGCATGCACCGTTACGTTATATTATGATTCAAATCTGACATTATTTCCTCCAATGCGGATTGTGGGTTTTTAAATCCCAGTAAACGCATCCTATGCAATAAACTTTGAGCTAAAAAAAACTGTTGCTTAAATTTCTGTCATCCGGCTTCTTCCTTCTCTCGTACCGGCCATTTCTTATCATAGTTGCCAGCCCAGTTGTTCTCCAAAGCATTTTGTCTGGCCTCAGTACTTTCCGTTTGGGAGACCAGAATGGCAATTTGTGACTTGACTACCGTTAACAAGCACTCGGGACCCTCCGCCCCCCCACGTGACTTCTGTTTCCACTGTGCTCACACCACACAGCTTATTCTAATGGTTTTCGCGTACGGCCGCATGCCCTTGTTTAAGGGAAACGACGGTGTTTCATGCTCCTCCGAAAACTGAAAGTGCCCCTTGATCAGTGCAAACTTCGAGTGATTTCTACTAACACTGTTCAATGATATGTGTTAAGCTTACTACTCACATCAATTATGATTATATACTCTAAGGAATGCGTAGTCCACGACGTATATTTTACAGGATTACTATGCAGCTGTTTTTGCTGTTTTGCATACGCCTCATTCGGCCTTTTGTCATTCAACTGACCAGGTTATATCACTCATGCTGTATCTCTGAGACCATCACAACTTACGGAGACTCGGTTGCACGCTTCTTTACTGCTGACCGATCATTGTGGCAAGTCGACGTCAATGGCGATGGGGACTGTCATGCCTACCTTGTTACTAAGTGGAGATGAGCAAACGGCGTGTCCAAACACTCGGTTGTTGGCGATCTTCGGGCTTGCCACAGTTCAAAGCCGCTAACGATAGTTGCTTGCAGACTGAGGATAAATGTCTTTGGACATCTAACATTCTACAAGCGCCGGTTACTTTGCGTGAACCTGAAAATGTACCCCTTAGGACCGAAGAAGTTAAAAAATCATCCTCGTCTGTCGGAGTATAAGTAGCACTGCAAGAGCAAATCAGTTTATCCTTTTGTGTAGTAGTAAGACACGTCAACGCGCATTTTAGACGGCCTTTTCTGCAGATTTTCAACCCCTGGCTTCACTGACCGTATGACGAACACAGTCACTTATGAACCGTCTAACGTCACGAATGTCTACTAAAGTTGGTGTAGATCAGCGGAGAGGGGAAGTGCCATTCAATTAAGGGGTTTACTTTTTGATCGGAATAGTGCAGATCTGTCAAACCGGATAAGGAATAGAGACCATCCGCCACGGCGGCTCGAGCGAACCTTCTCAAACGCATTAAGCGTTGTTGATGCTCTTGCCTCATCTTGCATCTTCGTCTTTCCTGATTTCTATCACTAGCTCTAAGCATGATGCTGACACATTTGCACGGTCAGGGGTCGTTTGCCACAAATCGAAATTCCTCCGATACCCTACTGAATGATTAATCAGAAAGTAGAAGGGACCGGTCGTTTGCTTCCGGCGACAGCCTTTGTCCCGCCTATAAAAGCCAATTAAGTTCATGCGGTGGGCGTTTGTGGATGTCAGCAATTAAAGTTTTCTCTTCGGTCCCCTGCCTTCAAAACTGCCATCTCCTAATTTTCAAAGAAGCCTGTCAAGAGTCCAGGGGGTGACCTTAATCACAGCCTCGATCGACTATTCCTTTTGCTGTCTAGCTTGCGTCTTGCTGACTTACCGTTTAGTCACAGCGAAGCAGTTTCGCGAAAGACTTAACAAAATACATTAAATTTTCATTTCATTTGCCTTAAACAGGGCCGCCGCTATGTCGCTGCGCACGATGCTGCTCTCCATTCAGGCCCTCCTCGCTAGCCCGGAGCCGGATGATCCGCAGGACGCAGTGGTGGCCAGTCAATTCAAAAGCAACCGCGCCATTTTCAACCTAACCGCCCGTCATTGGGCCTCCGTGTATGCAAACGGCCCATCCAAGCAAAAGGATTGTGAAGAAAAGGTGGAGAAGTTGATTCAACTAGGTTTCTCTGAGGTGAGTTCTCTGGTCTGGTTTCCGAGTCCTCATTGCCGGTTTCAGTGCAATTTCCAGTCACTGCCGCTCCGATTTATCCATTTTGGATTCGCACACCATGACAGGTCGACTCGGTGGTCTTTTAACTTGGTTAATCGTCGAAACGCATAAAGCGCCAAGTCTGTGCTCCTCAAATGTACTGTCAAGTAGGAAAGATCGCGCACGTGGGTCGCCAATAGCGAAGGAACTTTAATTTCAAACTAATCACGAGTTTCAACGATAATTACTCCAAAGCGCAGACAAGATACCATCGTGAGAAATCCTATAACTAGAAAGGTAACAAATTAGATATTAATTTCTGGTTTAACACGTCAGATAGCTTGGCAGGAATGAGATGACAGATTCTCGATACGTTGACGTTTGACGAAAATGTGACGAAAATCGCGTTGGACCGCTAGACATAAATGAGGCAGACGATGCAAATACCGCAAAATTTCCTCAGTGAAGCGCTTCGCCACCGTGAACAGCCGTCAAGCCATGCTGTTAACTAAAGGAAATTAAGCGTCTACGGCTGCAGAAAGACTGCGGACAGCGCATCTTACGATCTTTTTATTATTCTTTAGTATAAGAAGACAGTTGTAGGCGTCAACAGATCGTCAAAATGATGGCTGGGGAGTAGAGACGGGAAGTGGACGTCGAATATAACGTACCAGTTTGTGAATTTTGCTTTACGGGGATTCAGTGTAAAGAAAAGAACTACTTGAGCGTAAAAGACAGACATGTCAGGGTAGAAATTGGTTGACATTTAATTGGGAAGAATACCAGGAAGCAGGGAGTTGAGAGCTGGTCGCAGCCTGTTACCACGCTAGATAGCTTTTCAGTCATTTCGCGTAACCCCTTTGCCTGAGGCTCATACTGTCCAGTCGTCTGAAACCAGATTAAGACGTGTCTTACCGAACAACAGTGGGGTGGGACGGTCTATTTGTGGAATTATTTTCGCCTATGCCTGGGTCCGATGTTGGGCGCCACCATCCATCCTCCCAGTGACGGCTATAGGTTCTGGAAGTATCCCGATCGGCAAAATATTGGACAACAAACAGCGATCGCAATGTCATAATACCGTTTGAACTGGCGACCCTTTTACAGGTGGCCGATTTTCCGAATCGGCGCCTAGCTACGCCCGGATGATATAACCGCTCTATTGTCCACGACTACCTACCAGCCAGACTCGAGGACCGGCTTAATTCACATCAAATGGCGGTTCTGCTGTTGGCCACCCGGGGATGCGCGGGCAGCCTCCAGTTAGGCTAGCAAGTATGCACTAACGCCGTAACATGACACTCACCCGAGGAACCAACGCCGACACGATACTGCGTTATCAAAAGGACTCCAGGGGGGGGGGCGTATTAGGAGTTTGGTTCGGTAGGCCTCTCTTCTAGCAGCTCTCATTTTCTAACTCGGACTGTCGCAGGGGCGTGAGCACGTATGGGTGACCGCTTTCTTTGTGAGTAACCATGAAAACATCGCAGTTAGGAGTTCCCGAGAGCTGGACACACATGTTAACATACTCATGAGGCCGCTTCTTGAATTCGGGACTGTATAAAAGATGAACTTTAGCGAGCACTGTTATCTTTCTGTGTATTTTTGAACCAAATATTCTTCATCAGGGATTTCTTTTCTTATGTCGGAAGTGCGTTCGCCGATCGGGTTACGGGACTTGATCTTTCACTTGTGCTTTGAAGCTCCGTTTGGAGCCCCGCACAGTTACTAGTACTATAGACAGAAGATCACAGAAGAAGACAAGAGGGATTGGGATGGCCATTTCTGGCTTGTTAGCCATCGTCAGCCAGCTTTACTCAATCCCAGGTTTGAGGACACTTGAGAGTCTTACCCGCGTTCTTTTGATTACAAACACTAAAGTCTAACGCCCCAACCATTGTGTCAGGGGCTCGTTTTCCCGTCGGTTGCGATCGGGTATATTAACTACGTCGGAAATGCGTTCGCCGGTCGGGCTACGGTACCTGCTAGTCCTGCCCTGCACGGCAAATAAGCCAAAAATTGACAGTGTCAACTACCCCTGCCTTTGTCGGTGATCTGCTTTTACTCTCCTATCCCATCATCTCATCACCCTCTAAGCATTCTGTGCCCAGCCGTACTGTAGTGCATGCGCTCTTTGGAGCCCCAGTACATTTAGTAATGGCACAAAAACGCCATCGGCCTGGAAAATGTGCGTGTTCATCGTTCTACGTGACCCCTTTACCTGCTTACCACAAGGAGTCTTGCCTGTGTAGGTTCAGGCCAAAGCTCTGCCCCTTGACCCTTATCGAAATTCTGCTAGTGCATGCATAGGGGTTATTTTGTGCGTTCTGTCGTGTGTCCTTAGCATCGCTACAAACATCTGTTGATCTAGTACCCAAGCGACGGCCATACGGCTATTCAATTAGTAGACACGGTGTGGCTATAGTCCTCTCGCGTTACTGGCTTGGGAACCAGTCAATGACGGGATGGCCTACGTGCGACTGAAGGGTCACTTCACGAACATCTCCATCGTCTCTGTGTACACACCAACTTCAGCTGTCGAACAGCGCGATAACGAGACGTTTTACTCGCAGTTGCAAGCGTTAGTGGAAAGACTCCCTCGCTGCGATCTGCTGATTGTTGCCGGGGATTGAAATGATCGGACTGGACCTGGCGACTCAACAAACAGTCATCTTCTTGGCCGCTTCGGGCTTGACTCCCGGTGTGGCAGTGGCGAGAGATCACTGAACTTTGCTGATCAGAACCGACTGCTTCTCACCAACATGTGTTTCAAGCTTCGCAAAAAACATTTAATGACCTGTTATTCAAACGACTGTCATACGGCTAGTCATATTGACTACATGCTAGTCAGCTCAAGATTCCACAGCTGGGTTCGCGATAGCAGATCAATGCGTGGTGCCAAAACTGGAAAACACCCGTGAGTTGGACCATGTTCTCGTTCGCACGCGCGTGGAAGTTCTTCTCTCGCTTGCATCCAAAATGCCACATGCAAGACCCCTTTATGTCTCAAAACTTCAACAACTGGGCACCCCCGATGCCCTGAGCACAAAAATCCGGTCTCGTTTTACGACCCGAGTCGATGGAGAGGACGGTGGCCAGTAGTCATAATTGAAATCAGCAGTCTGTGGGAACAGCTGATAAAATTCGCGGATTCACCCAGCGGCGCCACAGTGACTCGATCAACAGAAGAACCCGACAGTTTTCTTCCCGTAGGGTTTGATCCAGGTCCCGCAACAATGTTTCCTTCGACCAACTCCGGAAAATTACGACAAACTCAGCTGGGGGTGATTGGCAAATGTATTGGGCTGAAGCAGTGATCTCCAGGGGGAACGGGCCTCGAACGTTGGGAACACCCGAAAACTACGAAATTATTCGCCAGACTAGTATTAAGTCTTCAACACTAAGTGACTCTGTCCGCGATGTGAATGACGGCTTCATTGCCGACAACTCGGCCGGGGTCGATCGTTGGCGTGAGGGCGTCGAACACCCCAACTTCTACAATCAACTCATCACACTGGCTCTCTCCCTTTCCAGTCCCCCCTTCGGAGGGGCGAGGTCGCCGATGCAGTACAGACACCGCGCGATAGCCCAGCGACACTGCTGCCCTGGCTACATGGGGTGATCAAGCAAACGTGAAAAGGTAGTTCTTACTGACTGGAACTCGGGCATCCTTGTGCCTGTCTCCATGGATGGAGACAAGACAAAGTACGAGAATTACAGTGGCCTGAGCTTTATCCATGTTGTTGCGAAGGCTTTTGCTGTTGTCCTCGGGCTATTTCAAACTGTGCATGACTCTAGGACGAGGCCCACCCAAGCCGGATTCCGAGCTGGACGTGGATGTACGAACCAGATGTACAGTAAGACAAATTCTTGAACTCCGCCGTGGCTACCGGTAAGTGACGGCCGTCTGTTGTGTTGACTTCGCCGCTGCGTTCGATTCCATCCATCGTGGCTCCCCTGTGGCGGATAATGGGGCTAGATAGTGTGACCATGATCAAGGCTTACTATCATTTCAGCAATAATCTGCGTCAGCCGTTCGATATCCGATCCGGCGTTCAAAAAGGTTGTATCCTGTTGTTCATTCTGTTCAACTGAGGAAGTAATAACTGAAGATCTGGTGGCGACCGCACTTTCATTCTCCGTACACTAGCCCCAAACACAGAGGACCTGGTTATCCAGACGGCCGCTTGGGCGGACTAAATGGGAGCAGAGACTTGATTGGTTCAACACGAGAGTTCGACTGTCGGTTTCGACGATGTCCACCGTGTGCTCCACAGATAGGCAAAGCAGGGACGGTGACCTCTATCCTGGACAGGCTTTGCCAGCCAAGGCCAGATTCAGCCAGTCTGGGACCGCGCATAAACACACATTCAATTCGGTCGGTTGCATTTTCGACAGACTTAATGCTCAAAGTGGTGAATTCGAATAATGGATTATGAAAAGCCACAGATCTAAAAGTGGTAGTAGATGGCGGGTTTCTTCTGAATATCAACAATTTCGTGCTTCTGTTTACAGAGGCTGCAGTGGTGACAGCCCAGGAAAAGGAGACAAATGTGCTAGATGTCGGTTGCATGCACGACTGGCCGTTAGTATTCCCATCTTATTTCATATCGTTGACTAAGGCTATCTACACGGGACAACGTTCCCCTATTTGCCAGTATTACGGAGTCCTCCGAGTGTTCACTCCCGTTTGTGGAGCAAATTTTAGAACCTCGCCCACTATTTCTGCAGTCCATTTCCTTAGGGCTCTTCGAGCAGGGTAGGCTGCAGCGATGCTCTTGTGCCTCGTGAATTAATCAGTTTAATCAGCGGACGAAGCAAGCACACTGAGGCCTTCTGTTGCCTAGGTGCGCCGAGACCGTTTTTCTCGACTTTGGCAATTCTGTTTACGAGGTTTGGAATTTGTAAGAGTGCAAACTGACTCGCATCGCCCACTTGTGGCTGTACTTTTGCAAAAATCTTAATCCGCTGACACGCCCAGGGACGGCCTTTGTGTCTTGTTTGTCTCACTCGCACAAAGTCTGAATCAGGACTTGCGTTTCGCGGTCTTTTCTCTGAAGTGGGACGTTTTTTGATTTTCGTCGTCTCTCCCGATCACCGTTTACATATCCCTCTTACTGTGGAGAGGGGAGACGGTGAAGGCGATGTTTGTCTGCTTTTACTGGCATCTTTTGTGGCGTCAATCCTGTTCTTCTGTTTGTCGGTTGCTCTCCCATGCCTTCTGCCCTCAATGCAGTTTTTGCTTTTTTCGTTGTTTGGAACTAATTAAACTGTATTGTCCCCGGTAGCACAGGGGCTAAATCCCAGGACGAGTGACATGCTCACGCATGTGAAATCCGAGCCGCTTTTATTTTAGTCTGATACAGCTGGACTGCGGACTAAATAATGTACTTACTGGTACTTGGTACGACTGCGATCATGTCTGGTCTACCCTTTCTCGATGATGTCATAGACTGCACTTTTCCACGCGTGACGATCCGCGGCAGCGGATCTGGACAGCTGAACCCATTCTCTTCACCGACGAAGATACCGAGGGCCCGAGAACCACTTCCATGTAGTGACGCACCGTATCGAGCTGGACCTTGAGCTGACCCCCTCTTCAACGCCTCAAAGTGGGTACCGGTGCCGGATCAAGGGCAGCAACACTCAACTCGTGAGGTGGCCGACAAAGAACGTGTCCAAACCACCGCAATCATGTTTTTGAATGGCTTAAGGTATCCCTACGATGTCTGAGCGAGTGCGGACTGTCTCATTTGAGATGAAGTCGGAGGATGGTCCTCCAGCAGTTGTGGTCAGATACTTCCAGCTTTCGTTCATCTTCCACGTGCATAGCCCAGCATTCACAGCTGTACAGAAGGACTGACCGGACGATGGCGCGCTACACGCGAATCTTTGCGACAATGGACACGTCACGTCAGGTCCATAGGCACGTTTGAAGGTTTGAGAAAACCCGGCGAGCAGCATCGATTCAGGAGACAATGTCGTCCTTACTCTGTCCATTCGGCAGTAGCCTCGTCCCGAGGTATTTAAGACTGTCTACATCTTCAACTTGGCAACCATTTATGTCAAGAGTTGCATTCTCCTGGCCAAGGATGCAGTCTGAGGACACTTCGTTCTTCTCAGCGTTTATGGATAAACCGACGGATTTAGCGACATCGTTCACCCGTGACACCATGAACTGCAGATCACCAACGCTTAAAGCTCGTAAATCCACAGCATCACCAGCGTAGTCGAAATCAGTCAGTCAGTGGCTCGGCGCAAACTGAACACCGTAAACTTCGCGTATGGCGTTCCCGAGAATCCAGAGTGTGGGCCACGTGTAGACTGGCCATCTAGCTTCTTAGTCACCGCGTCCGCCCCCCCCCCCCTCTCCCCGGTCAGGGGGATGAGGAAGGAGAGAATGCGGTAGATGCTACACAAATAGCAAGTCACAGGTGCTTCGCCCACGTCGTGGGGACACGCGGTGGGCGTCTTCGCTCGCGACGGTCCAACTGTCGTTGGGAGAAGAGAGCGTCTTAGTCGCCAAGACAACCACTTCACCAGGCGGCCGGGGCAAATTACCTTTTCAGAGATCTTTTTCAGCATTCACATAAGCATGAAATGCCATGGGAAAAAAGGACATTGTAAGATCTTATTTTGCAGCTGCACCTGTCAGGATTAGGGGTTAGAGCTAGAGGTTAGGGATTAGCGTTAGCTTGTCTACTGTAGGTGCGGCTACGACATAAGATTCGATCACGGACATACTAAAACAGTGCCCGTTTTTCGTGACTAAAGCGAATCCACTCGACCTGTCCTGGTGCATGACTCATCTCAACATTGCGTCCCAGCTTTCTTCTACCTGAAGCACTTTTGAGGGTTCTCGAGTTCGGACGCATAGCGCGCCCGCATAGTTTTTATTTGCTCTCGAATTACCCCGTTTCCCCCGCGTGCCTTGTGCGGTGTTACGTGCTGGTGGCCTTCGGAACGTCTCCGCCCATTTGTCTAAACAGAGATTGGTAAACGCAAAATTGTAGTCTATTAGAAAGCCATTTCTCCAGGCGGACTTTGCTGTTCTTCATAAACAGAAAGTTGTCCGGATCACAGATACGGCAATTACAGTGAGTGACCGATCTCATGAAATGTTGGCTGAAATTCCAAAATGCGTTCCCTACTTGGATGAATTACTTAGGTGGGGTTGTAATATTGATTATCATGCGGCATAATCCTATAACATTTCTGACTCCAGGATGTCTGCTTTTAAATGCACCCCGTTTCGACCTGTAGAAACCACACTCGGCAAAAAATGACTACTTAAGTAGCATACATTTTGCACACTGGTTTTCGATGATCTTATAAATTCAAATATATTTTATAAAAGACGTGCACAAAAATATGCTTTTCTATACTCGTTCTGTAGTGAATCACGTTGTGTTAACATTTCATACCCGAAGAAAGTGTATATTTAGGTTTTGAAAAAGTTCCCCAATTCCAGAATAAGTTTAAGCCTGATCAGCCGTGGCATTAGCCTTTAGCGATTTCAGTCTACGAGGTGCAAGCTTTCCGCGTAAGGACAGTCATATATTCCTCTATGCCTTTAAGAAGATACCATAGAGGGCTCATCAAATCTAGCATTGGATGCGGACAATGTTGTACATTTATTGAGAAACATTGATAAACGGACAGGTACGATGATGTATGAATGAAAACCGTACGGTCTTAAAAAATCTCATATCAGAAACTTTTCAAAACCCAAGTATACACTTCGGGCATAAAATGTGAAGACAGTGTGATTCTCTACCGATCGAGTAAAAGAAATAATATTTTTGTGCATGTTTTTTTTAATAAAATTTGAATTTATAAGACCGTCGAAAATCAATGTGAAAACTGCATGCTACTTAAGTATTCATTTGTTATCGAGTGCGACTTTGGCAGGAGGTCGGAAAGAAGTGCATTCAAAAGCAGACATCCTGGAGAGTCCAACATATTAGAGGATTATGCCGTATGATAGTATCATGACCCCCCTTAAGTAATTCATCCTATTCGGAAACGCATTTCAGAATTTTGGCCAACATTTCATGAGATCAGTCATTCATTGTATATTAGCCTGACGTCTTTGAGTCGTAGACGCCATTTGTCCTCGACTAGTCCAATCGGAGCTCGCCGCACAGGCCACAGCCATTGGGTGTGAGCGATGTTTCCCTTAGTTCTTGTCTTCGAAGATGGGCGTCTCCATCCACGTCTACTGCCTATCAGTTTAAGGTTCCGGGATGGCCAACAGCATTCGACATGCAACGTCTCACAACCGTGCCTGGGCGATTTTAGCGCTGTATAGTCCGTGACTACTTATTGCTCAGACACGAGAGCCCGCTTACTTCTCATCCCGCCTTCACTGAAGGTCCCTCTAATGCTCACCGCCTCACGAGCGCTCCAGGTTGCCCACAACGAGCTCTTCTTCCGAGGGTTACAGTTCTTCGGACGTGAGCTGAGTAATTGCTTTGGATAATTTCCTGGTCTGGTTTCTGGGCCCACTCACTCTGGTGCCGCGGCTGTAAGACTGTTCCGCGAGCGTGGCGCGTACACTCCAACTTACCCTGTAGGTGAGGCTGACTGCCTGGTGGTCTCATCCGTTGAGGCTGCGGACAAAAACGCCTTAGTATTCATAGCATTGTGAAAAAGAGAAGCACTGTCTCCAGTCCCACTCGGGAACCGCAATTGCTTTCGCGTCCTTTTGATATCATGGCCAGTTCCGGTGAACTAGGCACTAGCCACCTCCACGCCTTCCCATCTCTGTTTTGGCTGGTTTATGGACCATGGTGGCTGAGAACGATAAGAATCCCTGAAAGAAGGATCTACCTGGAGAGCCACCGTTTAACTGGTTTCTTTGGGTGACCGCGTGCTTGTGGTGTCCGCGCCAAGCGCTCTGACTGGTCAGGGCCAAACGATGTCTCCGACCCTGAGAGCTCAGGCTAATACCATTGCCGCACCTGAGCTACTTTCTGTTCGACAACGGCAATGTCCGCCTGCATGACTGCCGAATGGAGAGACCTGACTTAAGGGCCTATCTAGCCAGTTGATTGCCTATAAAAAGTCATAGAATAAAGCAGCGTTATGACCTGTCGAGCGTTGTTTGTCGGCGCAGTCCTGAAACTGCAGGTCTAACAGGGCGCGCCAAACTACACAAGCCTCCTGTCTTCCGTAGGGGTTTCTACTAAAAGCTCCACAACCGATGAGACAAATAGAGGGGAAACACGTTGGTAGGATCCTAGAGGAAACTGAGAGAGATGCGCAGCCCTAAGACGGAACGGAGCCGCGTTTTGGTGCCCTCCCGCCCAGCCGACGAACTGTTTGCGAATTATTCGATGTCCCGTTTTGTCGGCTCCCAATGTGGATCTAGCTTTCCTTGGTTGATGATCCTGCCAACGTGAGATGTGTAATCAGCCCATCATAAATCAGCTTGGCAGTTCTTAAGGTTTAGGTCCAACCCACCTTTCATTGTCTTTCAGGAAGTCCTATCCCGTACGTCTAGGCCGTCTTACACCTGCGCCCTCCCCCCGCCTCCGGTCTTCTTGACTCCGTCTTGACACCGGGTCCAGGTGGGGAGTGGGGAAGAGAGAGTACGGTAGATTCTGCGCAAGTCACCGCGCCTGCTGAACCTTGTTGTGGAGCACACGGTGGACATCGTCGGGATCGACGGTCGAACTGTCACAGGCCATCTTAACCACATTTGCCATTTTTATTATGAATTACTTAACTGGTTAATTAATTCGAGTCCCGACAAATCCCCCCCCCCTTTACCACTCCTGCCGAACTTGATAGTTCGTTTGTCACTGCCTTGCGGGAGCACCGGCAACTTTAACCGGAACCAATTTATATTGGTTGAACGGTCATCGATAATGCCTGCCTCCAGCTAATTGTGGCTTTGGTAACGTGTGGAATTTTTGCGGTTGGTATGGGGTGGGTTCGATCATAGTCGTAAATGTGAGTGGACGGTCAATGCAGGCCCATGTGTTTGTACCGTTACTTTTGTAAGGCAGGAAAAGGTGGACTACGGGTGATTTAAATGCAGAGTATTTAAAATCACGCGACCCTGATTGCTAACAGAAATGCGCGATAACTCTAGCTGAAATCACAGATGTCCGTCTGAGGTAGGGGCTGGAACGTAAGCCAGAAATGACCACCCCGGTGTCTCTTGTCTCCGTCAATACTGCCTCCAAGTAAACTCGATCTCTACAGACCGTCCGATCACTGACCGTTGGCTCTTGGAATCCACCCCGGACTGGACCGTGAGTGGGACCGTAATCTAGCGTGAGAGAGCCAGTTCGTGCAAATTCTCATTTGGTTGGCCGATAAAGACTGCGGATTTTATGGCACGCGCAAGACTCGTGTATACTACGATTGCATTTTCAGTGTCAGCACGCGGGAATTGAACATTGTTTTGTCTTTTCTGTCTCCTTAGACCGAAGCCCGGGCAGCCCTCTCAATGAAGAACTGGGACATACCAATGGCAGCCGAGCATCTACTCAAGTGATAGCCCACCTGGCATAGCAGACGCACAGTTACTTTTTCCCGCCTCCCTCGCCCCTTTCCTCTCCGCATTTTGCCCACATTCAGCTCCCCACCACAGGGTTGGATGCCATCTGGGGGACGGATCTCAATGCCGTCTGGTCCGACCTCCGCAGCTTCAGCTCCTGACGTGTCCCCTGCTCACACTTCCCTCCGTTCCTTCACCTCCACACGCCTACACTCTGCTGCCACAGACCCCCACTGTCCGCAGAGTTACGTTATACCTTATGTACAGTTCAAATGTTGCGTGTTTTACCCGCGACCTGCTTGCGTCTATTTTTGAATGTTACTGGATCCTGCTTTGCCGGAGTTGTGTCGGATGGGATGTGGGAAGTGGGAATGCAGTTCGACCCTCTGACGCGGCCCACACGGTATGGCAGGCTCACGATGGCCGAGTCGTCGTTCTATGATTGTTTTGACCAGGGGAGATAGGTGCGCATTAATAATAATAATAATAATAATAATGATGATGATGATGATGATGATGATGATGATGATGATGATGATGATGATGATGATGATGATGATGATGATGATGATGATGATGATGATGATGATGATGATGATGATGATGATGATGCTTAACTATACCTATCGTGTCCACAAGAATCTTACAACTGTTCTATATGCGGTCTGGCGTTCGGCGAGGTGCATCCTCTCGTCCAGCCTGATTAGCTATTTCGGTGGTCTGGATCTCGTGAACTCGCCACAGCCTTTGGTGATGTCAAATTTGCTCCAGGGTACCGGCCAGCTGGTCTCGACTACGGATATCGTCCCGTCGCCATCAATGATTAGGAGGCTAAGGAGTTGCAAATCACATCGGTGAAGTTGCTGCCCAGCAGACAGTGGGGATGGCGTAGCTGTCTGGAGGATATCGCAGATTTCTTGCAAGACTGAAGGTACCCTTGGGGGCCTATCACCGTATGTCAGTCGCCGAAAGCATCCGTTTGTACTGGGCGGTCAGTCTTGTGGTCCGCAGTTTTACTCCGGACGTAAAAGGCTATCGACAGTTGGAAGCTGTCCACTATTATTTTCTGAGAATAACATCCCGAACAGAGTACTGTAGATATGCTATCTCATGAGGTGTTGACCGAGATTCTGAAATGTGTTTTAAATTCGAAACGATTACTTGAGTAGAATTATCATATCAATTATCGTGTCGCATGGTGGCACGGTATTCCAGTCACTTCGGGATGCCGACATTCGAATGTTCTTTTTACCGATCGCTTGCGTAATCTGTATTCCGTTTAAAAATGGCTACATAAGGGGCATGAGCTGCCCCCGTCGATCTTGACACCCCGTATAGATTCAAATATACATATATATGTATTTATTTATGGAAAACATGCACTAAATATGCTTTCTTCCACTTCTTTGATGTCGAATTACATCTTAAAATTTTATACTTGAAGAGAGAGTGGCTTTCGGTTTTAAAGAACTTAGTTCCCGAAGATTTTGAAGCCGACCAGCCGTTACAGTTGCATTCAGGGTTTCCCAACTACGAGCTGTACACTTTCGTGAAAGGAAAATCATACATTTCTATGTCCTATTATGAAGGAGGCATATAGGGTTCATAAAATTTCGCCATGAATGTGGACCACGTCCACTTTGAGCAGCATTAATGAATGTACTGACGCGATGGTGTACGGTTAGACATTTCACGGTCCTCAGGAACCCCATAATTAGAAGGTTTTAAAACTGTGAGATGCTCTTCAAGTGCAAAATCTGAAGATGGCGTAATTTTCTACCAAATGAGTAAGGGGAAGAACATTTCCTTGTAGTTTTTCATGGGTTATATTTGGACTTATAAGGGCACTAAAGATCAACATGAAAAATGCACACTACTTGAGCAGTCATGTTTGCTAGATGCAGTTTAAGCAGGCGGTTGATAGGGAGCTCCTTCGAAAGCCGGCATCCTGATGTGACTGGAGCATTCTGGTATTATGCGAAACAATAATCAACATGCCAACCCTACTTAAGTAATCTTTTTGAATTGAAACGCATTTCATAATTGTGGTTAACATTTCATAAGATAGCACGTCTACAGTAGATATGCCATCTCGTGAAGTGTTAACCGAACTTCGAGAAGTTTACCTAAGTAGTGTTGCAATATTAATTATCGTACAGCATAATCTCAAAGCATCTCAGTCACGTCAGGATGGCGGCTTTTGAACGCACTTTTCTTCGGCCGCCTGCATAAACTACAGCGTAGAAATGGCTACTTAAACAGTATGAATCTTTCCTGTGGACTTTTAATACTATAAAGTCAAGAACTTTATAGGGATTTGCGTCTTCAAATTCTGCACTTGAAAGAAAAGTATTATTCGGTTCTAAAAAAACTTTTTTCAGTTCCTGAATAACCTTGAACCCTACCTGCCATTACAGATACGTTCAGAGTTGCCAAGCTATATAGAAACTACACTTTCTGCTTAAGAAAAGCGTACGTGCGTATGCACCATTAAGATTTCATAAGGTGCTGTAGCGGCTGTGGACTGCGCTGTCTATAAGCAGCGTTAATACACGTGTTGGGGACATCCTGTATGACTGAACACTTAACGGTCTTCAAAAATCTTATCATTGGAAACTTTTTAAGACCGAAAGATACTCTTAAAGCATAAAATCTGAAAACGGCGCAATTTCCCATCAAATGAGTACAAGAAAGGATATTTTTGAGCATGTTTTCTATGATATATATTCGAGCCTCTAAGGGCGCTGGAAATTGATTCGACAAAGGAACACGGTTTGCGTAGTCATTTTTTGCAGAATGTAGTTTTTTCAGGGAGAAGTTTGTTCAAGAGCCTGTATCCTGACGTCTGCCAGTGGTTTTCACGCGCAAGTTTGCTGATTCCTGGCCCTTTGTAAATGCACTTCTCAGCGGGTCTTGAAGGTCAGCACTGCTGGAGACGTCTGAGTGTAAGATCCTAGAACTTTGCACGGTCGTCATTGGTGGGCTGGTAATGGTACCCTGGCGGCGCGCCGTCTGACGTGAGAAGCAGTTCTGACAACGCTCCAAACTCCCGTGCCACTGCGGTCTTGTTACCATTGTCTTGCCATCGGAGCCTGATTGGTGAGGAAGGAGAAAACGCGGTAGATGTCGAGCAAGGCTGCCCCACTCGACAGTTCGACCGTTGTTGCGGACGATGTCCACCGTGTGCCCCACAGCAGGATGAGAGCAGAGAGACGGTGACTGGCGCGTGAGTTAGTTTATAGTGTTAGTAGACTTGCGCATCATTCACTGCACTCCTTCGTCCCCCACCTGGGCCGAGTGCTAAAACATAGTCAAGAATACCGGAAATGTGAGATGTCGCAGGTGGCTGGCACGACCGGAGCAGCCCCTATGCCTGCCGCCACACCTGGCTCGTATACCATTGAGCCGAACGGAGTGTCATAGAGGCAACATTGAGAAAGAGCAATTGCCGCCTGACTCTCAGACCACCTGTCAGCCACTCCACACTAACACAAAACACTGGGCCGACTGCGAGGTCCGATTTATCCCGTCATTTAGCAACCTTCCAAGTCACGGCTTTTAGCGCACCGTGATGGCTCCAAGCGCATCAGATTGTTGATAGTGAGGAAGATGTGTTGGGCCGTCTACCTTACTCTCCCTTCCCATTCTCAGGTCACCCGTGGCACGCGTAGACGAACTGCGTCCGAGTCCACCTTCGGTCCTTATAACATTGTTCCACAATCACAGCTAAGTGGGTGATGGGAAGGAGAAAGTGGGATAAATGCCGCGCAAGTCCGCCCCACTATATGCCAGTTCATGAACGAATTACCATGTGACTGCCAGCATAAATCCCACTGTCTGGCCAGCCTCATCTGTTCTGGCTTGGCCGACTCTGATGTCCTCGTGGAAATGCGCTGTGGAACGTAAATCGAATTGTCGCAGAAGCCTAAGCCGATAGTGAGACCCTGGTTACCAAGACCTTCATGCCCGGTCGAGAATGGAAATAGATGGGCGCCAGTTGGGAAATTGTATATTCAATTCAGAACAACTGGAGGGAGGAGTGGAAGGAGTCGTCAGCCAGAAGAAAGTGCCTCAGGCGCCGGGAGAGCGGCATCCTTAGTGCCCGTCTGGAAATGTATCAAAGTGTCTTAAGCCAGAGCACGTCTGACTACGCCCTGAAACCCGAGTGGACAAACGCCAAACAGCCCCGATACTCAAGAGAGGCCCGGCGTTGCGGTAGGCGTTCAGAGTAGGGCCACTACAAGAGACGGCAGCCAACAATTGATGAACCCGACCTCATCGAAGCGCAACCACCTGATGCGACTGAACCCACATGTCGCCATTTTTTCAGAAGCTAAGTTCATTAGCTACCAGCCAACATATTGAGTTCTGACGCCAGAGGCATGCTTGCCGGGACTGACACCATCTGGCCGGAGCCCACGGTCGTCTGTTGATTGGGAATCTAGGCAAATCTGGTAGTCTGGATGCCTACCGCACACAAAGGCTGCATAGGTCCTATTCCAAGCACCTGCTGCAATATTGCGCCTCTCACGCATACTTTCATTCGCTTCTTACGGCTATCCAAGCAGACCAATCACTTCAAGGTCGACGCAGACATGAGATGCTCCGACACATGTCCCGCTGCCAACCAGGATGTCTAATTTCCTGGCTTCAGCAGTGTGTCCTCATCCGGTTGCCAGCTTGTCCCAATTTGTTCTTCAATCATTTTATACAGAATACAATAATCTGTCTGCTGGCGTTCAAATTCTCTCCCTTCCATGGATGACGGAGCCTCAAGGTCATAGTGACAAGGGTCCCTATGACCTAAGTCTGGTCCTAGCAAAAGCGGTAAAACGGCCAATGTCCCTGTCCTTCAGGCCGTCAAAACCTCGCATACTGCTGACCTCGTTACCTTATATCAATCCCTCAACATTGGTCTCCAGCGTCTCTTCGCGTGGGCCTCAGACGGATGAATTGACATTTGTTTAAACTGAGGTTGAGAAGCCATTCATCACACC